GGGGAGGGGGTCTGATTTCCTGTAAAATAGTCCTGTTTGGTCACTTGCTTGTTGTGTGATATAAACTCACTACTTGTGTGGGTGGTTGACCTGTGCTCTGGTGTGGTTTTAGTAAAGGTTTTACGGGGCTCGCAACTGCATAGGGTCAGTATATGAATGCCAGAAGATTAGAGGTGTTACAAGAGATCGTAACAAACATAAAAAAGAAAAAGAGGAGATAAAGACGATAGATGTTTGATAGGAAAGAAGAAGCAGACCCCACCAGAGCACCCGCCAACCACCCACTGGTGTGGCTTGCTTCTTCTTTCCTATCAGAGTCTTTATCTCCCCTCCTTTTTTTTGTTTGTACCCTCTTGTGACACCTCCAATCTTCAGCACTTTATATGGCCTTATTGTGTTGCATGTGCCGTAAAATTCTTACTGCTAAAACTATTTATAAACGTTACTCACTTGTCAATCATAATGATAATCTTTACCTTGTCGCAAAATTCTTTGATTTTAACTATATATAGGCCTCCGCTAAATGAAGCAATCCACCCATCTACACGTCTACCCACTTGTAAACATTACCACCTTTGATCTAAATTAAATGTTCCCCCTCCCCGGCGGTGTTGTTACTGTGGCCATGTTGGGATCAGGACATTCGCTGTGCTAGCAAAGTCATGGATATTGTATTGATTACAGCAGACCATACACCACAATCGGGCAGGACTAATTTAATGTATGGTAGACAGATCCGTAGTCTGGTAGACCTTCAACGAAACAGGCACTGAATTTGAATTGTGTTACTTGCATTAAAAGATGAATTTCGATGTGAAAAGGAAATAAAAGCTGAATTTTTTTTTTTTACTATCGGTACACCAAGGAGTTTATGATCGTGCGATACCTATTCCTATTCTTATAGAACTTTTCACGCTGATTACGAATATGATTTTGTTTCTTTCGCAAACAAATTTTATTTAAGCGGAGTGATTAAATCCGTACAAAATTGTGCGAACAGCTCTGTCTGTTTATCGGAACAATATTTTACACACAATTGCAAGACAATTGTGCGAATAATTGCTACTGTTATCCGTACAATAGTAACATGCCAACAGGCCTACATGTTCTTAGTAGATCAGTGCTTCCAATTTTCTGCCAGCGGAACATTTTTTATTTTTGCCAGACCTCATATGCCGATCCGATGCCTGCCGCCTCATTGATGGTGTCCCCCAATGTAAAAAACGATGTCAAGATATAGACTATGTTGCGTTGCCTTTCATGAAACCGGACTGATATTTAAGCTTAAAATCTACCTTTATTACGTTGAAAGTTCTGATGGCTGAAATGACAGCATGTCTGCGCTAGACGAAGTACAAATTATTTTACCAGTGTGGGATTGAATCATGGTCGCGGAAGTTGTTTTTTTTCTCCTACTCTGACTGACCAACCTTTTTTTCCGATAATTGTTTTGACTTCAAAGATTTCCACTCACGGTTTTGTGTAAAAACAAAGAATCGTACTCATAGTCATAATTGTACAGTTTATATTTAATTTTAATAAAAGTATACTTTTCGTTTGAAAAAGAGGCCTACCTATTTAGGCACCAACAACCTCCAAAATTTGAATAATTGTACGAATAACTCTGTCTGGTTATTGGTACAATTGTACTAATAATAATAACTAGTTGGAGTTATACGCTCTATTGTACCAATGACTGCAGCCAAAATTTAGAGAGTTATTAAGGAAGCGGTGTAGAATTATATTTCAGAACCTTCGAGTACCGGTCGGCATATTGAGGTATCTTTGTCCTATTTTTTGGTGTGATTTTGCAAGCGGAGCATGATTTTAGCTGAGAAACCACTGCAAATCAGTAGGGTGAAAATGAACAAATTAAGGGGCGGGGGTTCCCTTTCCTCCCAGATAGTAGAAAAATATTGATTTACGGGTGGTTCTAAGTACTGAAATCGTGCTCAGCACGCTAAATTACGAATTACGCTATATGAACATCAAAAACTTTGCAAAGTGGTGATGTACCGGTAGTAAAAATGTATCAAATGCTGACAATAATTATCATGCATCTCTCCAACCATAAGCAGGAAATGAATTTGTATGTTATGGAGAAAAAAACAATCAGCAACAATGCACGTTATGTTCATTTTGACAGCAGTCCTATTCATAGATGGGAGGAAACATCTTGTCATCACTGCTTTGTTGGAACCCCTTGTCGAATTAAACAATTTTACAGGAGAGAATGTCTGGTATTGTTAACGCTAATGGCAAGGCAATGTAATTTTTGTCAATGTATTGTGTTCGGCCTAAATGAGACAAGATCATACAAAGAAATATTTTATCAATGTTTTACTTGGGCACATTAGTATATTATTATGCAATCTGAGTTAATAATCAAACATCTTTTATATATCGAGGTTCTGTATCTCAAGTGTTGCTCTGTCAAGCCTAGCAAAGGTGTTAGCGAGGTTATTTATTTATATATTTATAATTTTTGGGGTAAGTGTTTTACGGCTCTCGCAACAGCATTTAAGGTCGTAACGTTCGGGAAATATTAAACCTTTTTTCAGTTGGTAGGAACGTTTGAATTTTGCCCAGATGGTGGCCGAAGCCTGTGTAAGACGAAAACCTGACATAACGGAATCTCCCCGCTCTCTCCTTGATAAATGCCTCTATAATTACCTCTATAGAATGGAAGCCTGTCTAACGTGGAAAAGGAAAGAGAAGTTCCTTCACTTCAGAGGGTTTTTTACCTGTCTAAGACGGAAAATACTTTGTCCACTCAGCCCTGATTTGAAACAAAACTTATCAAAATTTGGTCCATGGGCTCTAACCATTATGCCATGCTATGCTGCCAGGCAAGGAAGGGGAGTAGGGGTTCAGTTTGGGGATTGATGTTACCCCATCCATGTGAGCCTTTAGCAGTGTAGATGATCAGAGTGGTATGGGTGTGAAATTTCACCAGTACCCGTAAAAGTGCTCGAGTGGTGCTCTAGCGTGGAAACTTTCATGGGCAGCCGCAGGCTAGAGGTGTGAAATTAGTTTGACCAATGCCTGCCGCCCTGATCGTCTAACCAGCTGAGACATGAATTCATCGAATCGTTGCTACATGCATGAGAGGGGTCGCACTGGTTGTACTGTATTACACTTACACTGATGGGTGAGGCTAAGGGTGGAAGCAAAGGAGATGTTCAGATTTCAATAGCTCAAACTGGAGTCCTATGAGATGCAAGCACTGGTGGTAAAGAATTAAGTAGGACTGATGCATATCATTATCAAAGAGGATAGTACTAGAAAAGTGTGAAGTTTTTACCATTTCTTTGCCAACTGGACAACAAGCCACCCTTCATCTCCACTGGCTGGGCCTCTTAAATCCTCCCACCATCTTCCCCTAAATTCCCCTGTCTAAGACGGGCTTTTTTTTCTGGCTCTCTTGCGATTCCGTCTTTTACATGTTCGACTGTATTAAGTTTTAAAATTTTGCCACAGGGCTTTAAAATTTTCAATGGCATGTTGAACAATGATGTTGATGTTGGGGCTTGTAGGAGAGAATGGTCAACATCTGGAGCATACAATTTGAATAACTGCCACCTTCCCTGATTTGGCAATATCAATTTTGTATTTTAAATATGTTCTTCAATGCATAGATAGCGAATAATTAAAATAGAACAAAAGGGTTGACTTTTGAGTAGTTGCAAAGTTTTGCGTTTCACTCAATTTTGGTTGAAATTTTAAAAAATTTGATAATTTTCAAACACTTCAAGCTCCCAACCAAAGATTCCACAAAGGGGCTGCAAAGTCAGTATACCTATAGCTTTTGCAGTAAAATATTTTCTCCCCAGTTTAAAGTGCCCTTGACGAATTCCAGTGATCATTAATTATTTCTGACTCTGAAGTGCCATAGCTTTGCTTTGACGGTGGACCAAAGATTGATACCTGTTAAAGGAACGCTATTTTGCAGCTCCTAATTCTAACATCTGCTCTCTTTGCTGTTCATCGTCATCTCTTTTAAAATGTTTTTCTATTAACCCTCTGGTTTCTTCTTTTCTTAATTTGAGTTAGTTCCTTCACAACTCCCTCCCTCCCTCCCTCCCAACCTCCTATCCACTGGATACTCCCCGGGGCAGTGCCACTGACTAGTGTCTTTAGGCCATTCCCAAAGGGGGGACATTTCTTGTTCAAGTGCAGTAGAAAATGGGCTGATTCATGTCACGCTCATAACTGTGCCTGATCTACAACAGGGAACTGCTGCTTTATCTTTGCTAATCCTTACTGTCATTTTCCTCTACTTCTTTTGTATGTTTGTCACTTGTGACCTGCTATTTCCGGGGTGCCTTGATAGTTGAAGCAGACTTTGTGCTGTTGAAGCTAGAGAGGTGGGCAGAGTGGGTCTGATTCCCTGTAAAGACTTCTCTGTTGACACCCACCCCTTGGTGCTCATATGACCTTATGCAGTTGCGAGTGCCGTAAAACCCTTTACTATAATAAAAAATAATAATAAAATCCACTGGATTAGTTTGAAAAGCTCTTGATATTATCATAATAATCATTATGTAGTGAACAGTAGTGAAAATAAAACAGAAGTAACAGAAATGTGGTTTCTTAGGAGATTGCAGAGAATATCGTGGTAGGAAAAGAAATCAAATGAGGTAGTGCTTGATCTAGCCCACGAGGGACGCTCACTGTTAAAACAATCAGGAAAAGACAAATGCAGTTTTTGGGACACCTGAATAAACATAAAGGTCTTGAACATTTAGCTCTCACTGGCAAAACTTAAGGCAAATGAGGCAGGGGTAGCCCCAGAGCAACATACTTAGGGAACCTAAAAAAATGGGTAATGGGGAAAGATCAGGGAAGCGTAGAGGATCCGAGCAAAGGAATGAATGGAGAACCATGGTCGCCGATGTCTCTCACTGATCTGGCACTGGATGAATGAATCATTATGTTTGCCAGTCATTTTTTCCATCGTATCTCAATTTGTTATTCACAAAACACACTGAATTTATTATTCAACAAAAGATGTAAAAGCTTTTAAAATTTGTATCAATTACATTCAGTTTCTTGACGTTAAGTCTACTTTGATTTTTAGAGATTGTTTACACGGATGCTAAGTATGTCCTACTATCTTTGAATTTTCTTCTTTTCTCTTCTCAAAGTTTTGTGGGGAGTCGGAGTGGAGTACCTCTACAATGGAACAATATTTGGGACTTATTTCCTGTAAGTATTGGTGAATTTCTTTTTTGTTTCTATTGTCACTTGTTCAATATATGGGTTCTGTTTCCAGTACCAGGATTATTGTGTTATTTGATTTGACTGATTCAAAATTTAAAATTTGTCTTGAGAAAAAAAAAATAACAAAGGGAGAAGTCCAATTGGCCATCGCTTGTTCACGCTCATCTGCCTGTGGTTAAAATGGGATTAAAACAAATTGCTGTGTTTGATCTTCTCACATCTTTGCATTTGAGTGTCAAAAATTTTGATGACCAACAGAAACTATATTAAAAGCTCATTAATGAAGGTCACTGCTAACTAAGGTTCTGACAAGTTTCCTTTGATGTTAGCCTAAAGGGGTTAAAGAAATAGTAAGGAATTTATCAAGCACATCTAAAACATAAAAAAGTTGACCTTTTAAAAAAAACCCCCACCACACTTAACGCTTTAATGCATGCTTTTGAAGCACAGCCCAATAGACAGATTAGTACTTTTCAAAACTCATGTGGAGATACCTCGATGGTCCTGGGATGAAATCTGCAACTTTACGCTGAAATGTGGGTGGTTGGCGGGTGCTCTGGTGTGGTTTGCTCCTTCTTTCCTATCAAACATCTATCGTCCTTATCTCCCCTTCCTCTTTTTTATGTTTGTTACTCTCTTGTAACACCTCTAATCTTCTGGCACTCATATGACCTTATGCAGTTGCGAGCCCCGTAAAACCTCTACTAAATCAAAAAAGAAATCTAAAACTGAAATGCAGGGGCTGGGTGGTATCGCTGTCTCAAAATGAGCAGTTACCAATTTGAAGGCTTTGTTATTGTAAATCATTTAGGTTTCTATTTGTAGTGATCCAAATAAAGAATTGTTTGAATTACTGGACCAAATTATTAAAAAGAAATAATTTTGATTTGGTTGCTGATTCACAGGAGTGTAATGCAAAGTTAACATGCACATTGACAAATTAATGAATGGGCTAGAATATTGTTAATGTGGGCATACAAAAGTGAACAAGCTGAAGTGGAAATACCTAAGTTTCCATTCAATTCTCTTCCCCAATTTCCATTTCTTTTGGGGTAGGGTTCTGGTACTTTATTCTATTTTTAATAAGTTAGACTTTTCAATTTTGCTTTGAATTGTCTCTAGTCTTGGGAAGTATGTGTATTTTTAAAAAAAGATTGTTCATATAATAATGTGGATGAATTTGCAACCAACTTTTTTGTTTTGTTTCATGAACATTTACTTTTTTAAAATTTGTTTTTCAGTATTATTGCTGTCATCACATCATTCCTAGAGGCTGTGTTTTTGCTGAATCATGTGGTGGAAGTTTGTGTCAGGTGAGATGCTTGTACTGAAGACTTATAAATGGAACTTTGTATACTTGAATTTGTAAAGTGGTTTACCCTTTTCCTACTTGTTTCGTTCTGCTTGTTTTATTTTGTTTTCACGAGTTGTTGGTGGGTGCTCTTGTGTTACTTTTTTACTTATTTCCTATCAAACATATACCTATAGGATAGGTAGGTGTTTGGCGGGTGCTGTGGTGTGGTTTGCTCCTTCTTTCCTATCAAACATCTATTGTCCTTAAATTGCTCCTCCTTTTATGTGTATGTTACTCTCTTCTAACACATCTATTCTTCGGCTCTTATATGACCTTATTGTGTTGCAAGTGCCGTAAAACTCTTACGAAAGCTAAAACTCTTGGTAAAATTTAACTAAAAATATCTATTGTCCTAATCTCTCTACCTTTTAAATGTTTGTTTCTCTCTTGTAACACCTCAAATTTTTGGCACTTTAATTACCTTATTGCGTTGCAAGTGCCTTGAAATGGTTACGAAAACTAAAATAAATTTTGTTGTGTGAATTAATTTGACATGATTTCACAAGCACTTTTCACTTTTGTTTGCTGCAAAAGGAAAGCTTTGAATATTGTTATGAAACTAGAAATTCTTATTGGCATCATAAGTACAGCTGCAATACATTTTCAAGTGGGTGGTTGGGGGGTGCTCTGGTGTGGTTTGCTTCTTCTTTCCTATCAAACTTTTTTCGTCCTTATTCTTTTTTATGTTTGTTACTCTCTTGTAACTAGTAACACCTACTCTTATGGTGCTCATATGACCTTATGCAGTTGCGAGCGCTGTAAAATCTCTACTAAAACTAAAAAACATTTTCAAATAGACTGAGCCATAGTTAAATTTTCTTTCCCTTTATTTTTTCTTTTCAGTCGAACAAGTGTGATACTAAGGATATGGGATGGTGTACAGTGGATTGATGACTGGAAGAAAGGAGGCCTTTACTTTGTTGGTTTTGCTCCTGCCTGTTTTGTTCACCCAGCAGAAATTGAGCTAGGTGTCCCTGCTGGTAAGCATGTTGCTTTACACTGTCAGGATATCATTCTCACTGACATGAGAAAAGTGACAAATATTTTTATTTTTTTCAAATGTGTGTCAAAGATTTGTTAGATGCAAGTTTTTGTTGTTGTCATGTTCTTTAAGATGGAATTTAAATTGGTCAGTGCTCTTTTTTCCTTCAGTATTCATTGAAAGTAACAATGTGAAAAAATGAAGCACCTCTTTCGTGTCACACTGTCTTGGAAAGTTAAACTGAATAGCAGCAATGTAAAAAGAGACTTTTGCTGAGTTTGATTTGAACTTGTCCATGTCAGTTTCTGTGGGTACTGTTACGGTCATTACTTTTTTCTTGTTTTACTTTCAGGTTGTCTACTGATCGTAACAGGTGTACTATATATGTTGAAAACATTCAAAACAAAGAGAGATGAAGAGGATACTTCAATAGAAGAGAATGCTACGTATGATAGGTAAACATTTTATTCTTCTGATTCATCATCATTTGCAATGGAGTTCGCTTAAACTGACATCTTTGGGACCGACGCCTTTTCTTTGATTAAGCCAAGTTTTTGGTTTAGAGAGGTTACTCAAATTGGAGAGAGAAAAAAGGAATAAGATAGGAATAAAAAGTATAACATACAAAAAAGCCATTTGAACACACTCCATTGTATAACTGAAGAATTTCTCAAATGAGCTTTTGTATTTGGGATTGGCTATTTAATGAAAGGTGAGGCTCTCAGACTGGCCACTGAAAGGTCTTGGGTTCGAATCTCATCAGGGGACTGACGTTGTATCCTTGGGAAAGGCACTTTATACGAATTATCCTCATTTCACCTAGTTGGGAATGGGTACCCGGGTATAGACAGTGAAAGATCTTGTCAGTTTGTTAGTGTTTGAATGCTTAATTAGCTGTTTGCATTTTATTCTTCCTGGGAAGCTGAGAATGTTTCTGAGTGTTCTATGGTCTGCTGAGGTAATATGATATAGTGTAATGTGCATAGAGCTTGCTGTCGAGCGGAGATATGTGCCATACAAATGCTATAAATTATTATTATTATTGTTAAAAGGTTTGCAAACAGAATAATTATAAGGTATGGAGATAATTGCTGTTCAATATTTATTTAAACTAAAGGATGCTTTTTTTTGTCTGAGGCTTTTTGAGCTTTATTATGTTTTCAACTGAAACATTTTCTAAAAGAATATCATTTGAAACTTACCAATAATTCTATTGCTTGTATGATATTTATTTGAAAACCCTCAGATTTTTGTAATTACAGAGTTGCCTCTGATTTGTAACAACAGTTTGTGTCCTTTTTTGTTTTTGTGTTTGATGTGAACACTTGCATTGTGGAAATCTGTTGAATATTTCCTGATCACAACTTGGCTAAAAGTTCTGTATTTTTACATCTTTAAGTTACATGCCACAAGCAATTTTTACTATGTAGTTTGTGCACTCTATTATTTTTCTCTAGTAAAGACATATACAGTTATACAAGTATGTGGGTGGTTGGCAGGTGCTCTGGTGTAGTTTGCTTCTTCTTCCCAATCAAACATCTATTGTCCTTACCCATCCTTCTTTTCTTTGTATGTTTCTGTCAAGTGACACCTCTGATCTCTAAGTGACACTTCTATGACCCAATTGTGGTGCAAGTGCCATAAAACTCTTACTAAAACTAAACTAAACTTGTCCAAGTATAGCCTCCGACTTTCACGCTGAAGGCATTGTTGTGAGCGTTTCGGTGATCAAAATGTTAGGAGTTTTGGTATCTGGAAAGAGATAGACAATTAATAATTAATTAACCATCCATTGTATGCCGGTTTGCTCTGTACTTTCAGAGTAAGCTGAGTGAATTCCCACACTTAAAACCATGTGCGCTTAGACAAGACGCAAGAGCTAGTTCATAGCATAGTATCTGGCAGCATGGCCTGAAAATGAAATCCCTCAGAGAATTTATATGATTTGGCTTACTGATTGATGCGCATGCTTGTGGGTGATTAATGGGGACTCTTATATGGTTTTGTGCTTCTTTTTTCTATCTACCAACATATATTATCCTTATCTCTCCTATATTTCTTTTTTTTTGTGGCACGCTATTCTCTAATAACGCCTCTAATCTTCGGCACATATATGACCTATATTTGTGTTGCAACTTCTGTAAACCTCTTTCTAAAACTAAATGCATGTACGCCTTTTATATTTTTAAGGCCGTTTTGTTAACCCATGTATATTTTAAAAAACAACAATTTTTTCTTGGTCACAGGTTTGATGATGGTCATGAAGACATTGAAGAGGACGTGATCAACCCTACCCACAACCCAGGAGGTGGGATGACCAGTCTGGCAGATCAGAACGAAATTTTGGATTTGTAGCTGCAGACAGAGATGTGGAGTAGGATGAGATTCGATCAAATTAGAGCGAAGAAAACCCTTCCCCGTAGAGGGTAACCATTCAGACGAAAAGGACATTTGCATCACTCACTCTGTGCGTTTGTGTTATGTGGTATGTTCAAGAGCTTGGAAGTCAATGAGGAGTTGAGGAGATGCTTAGGTTTGTAGGAAGATTGGGGTTGTTTTTTTTTTTGTTAATTAGAATTGCTGTTTTGACCAACATTGTAGAGTTTTGTATAGGTCCTACAAATTTTTTTTTCTTAATGAGGGGCCCAGATGGTCTATTTAGAGATGTGTTCCATTTTATGATTTAGAGTTGATACTGAGGCTGCTGGTGCACTTCTGTTTCTTACAGGAAGGTTTTTGTTTATTACATATAGGCATTATGGTATAAAAACCAGTGGGCGTGGCACTTTGAAAGTTTTGCAGCAGAGAAGGGTTTGAAACTCGGGAATTTGCATCGTGGGGGCCTCCATTGGGAGAGACTACGGCCCTTCATTTATTGCTAGTCAAAAGATACTAACGCTTGAATTTTTCGGTTCACCCTACGGCTTCTGTTACATTCTCTTCTATATTCGTCATGTTATTTATACACTGCACTTCCATTAAAGCGTAGAGGGTTGGTGCAATACTTTGCACATTACTGCGTGAGCTGTTGCAGTGGTTGGTTTTTATAAACATCGGTTGTCGGCACTGTGATATAGTGGAAGGATCTGATAGGACTTTTACTTCTTTGATGTGTGTGAATAATTTTAATGCCTCTTTACATCCATTTATTATATTATATTAGCATTTTGTACTAGTTGAAAAGATGATTGTTGCCAAGAGTAGTCAAACACTGTTATACCGAAAACTTGTGAATGAGTCTCAAGTTGGCAATGTGGCGGGGCTGGTGGTATAACATGATTTTAATGCTGTCCTCAGTAAAACAGTATCAGCTACTTTGTTTCAAGGGAAATGATTCTGCCATGGCTAGATACCAACTTTATGGCCAGCCTCACTTCATCTAGATCAATCTTGCACGACTGTCGTGCACTGGGGCAAAAAAAACAATTAGCTGCCAGTTACGGTTTCAGCTGAGCATCGTGTAAATTCAAATTGAAAAATTACTTCAGGATCAGAGGCTGCTTGTCACATTCGATGATTTGTGCTGACTCAAATCTAGGAGACAAAGATGGAAAGTTGGGCTGGGTGTGGAGGGAACAAATCAGTGGGCAAGTTGTAGCTTGCAGAGTCGTGTGTGGTAGAATGAGAGATATATTATCACTGTGCAGCTGCTGAGTGGCTGTTTGTCGTGCGCTGTGTGTAGTGGTACACCGTGTACCTCTGGCAGCCAGTTCACTGGTGGTGTTGGGGGGGGGGGGGGCAAATTTACTTTAGTTTGATAAGGACTCTACATCTTGAGCAGTTAGTGGATGGCGGTTTAAAAGGGCAAATAGTACGTTTATATAGGTGCTCCTTTTTGTGCGTTGGCAAACCCTGGTACTATATTGGAGGGGTGAGGGTGGGGTATAACAGTGATTGACTCTACTCCTGTTTACGCCACAGTCGTGAGAATCAGTGCCTTTTCTTTGTGTGTGTTTGTGAGATCAAGCCAAATGTTGTTGTTGAAGAAAACGAAGATTGCAGTGGCTCCTGTCAGAGCAAGAAGCTGTGTTGAATATCTTTTTGAAAACAAAATTTTTGTTATCTTGGACACAGATTTTGTAAGACAACGTATGAAGCTTCACATCTGAAAAAAAAACCGATGATAAAGTTTCATCAAATTAAGAGATCCCATAATAATGCTACATGCTTCAAAAGCTACTTTCTAGATTTGTTAAAAGTCAAATTGTGTTTAATTCTTCCCACATTTATCTTACTTGAAAATGCATAAACATTCAGTTTAAATAAGAACTACATTTTGGTCCTTGGTTGTCCAGACCGAATGGCTAGAACCCAAATGGCCGCTGGATCGGAAAAATAAAGTAAAAGTAAAGTAAGTCCCTGGTTGTTGACTTTTTCACTCATATGAGTGGACTCTTGAGCAAAACTTGCTCTGACAACGTTTGGGTTGTTTTCACAAAAGCACTCGCGCTTATTTTTTCTTCTATACTGGATGGAGTGCCTTTTAAGTATGATATTGGTTAAGTGCCTGTATGAGGAGAACATTCGTGAATTGTTAAGAGAATGCAAAAATCACCGATAGAATTATTAGAATACAAGTTATTTTAATTGTTGCTGTGTTGTGTTTTTGGTGGGGTGGTTTTTTAAAATAAAATTTTTGTTTTTGTGTATATAAAGGTTGAGGTGAGCAAAAGTGTGCAACTGGAGCTCGGAGAGAAAAGTGATTAATGAGAGATGGAAAGAGAGAACCCAATTGTTCTCTGTCATGTTAGCATTTTGTTTCTGAACAACAGCTTGTGCCTTAACGATGTGCCTTTATGTGCTCAGTTTTTACTGGTGGGGGACTGCCCCTCTATTTGCAGTCCCACTTCCTAGCACCAGATGCCCCGCTAGTGATGTTGAGCTATTTATGTGTACAGACTTGTTCAACGGGTTTTCATTACAGTGCCGTGCTAATTGTGTTTGAAAAAAAAAAAAAGTGTTTATTAACCCTACTCATCTTGCTACTTTGCTTGTGAGGGTGAAACAGCTTCAAAGAATTCATCATTCCTAGCCGTTGTGTGTAGCTTGTTGCAATGTGGGAGTCTTGTTGCAAGATGCATGAGTGTGTTGTGCGCGTGTGTGTGTGAGTGTGCGTGTGTGTGTGAGTGTGCGTGTGTGTGCGTGTGTGTGTGTGTGTGCGTGTGTGTGTGTGTGTGAGTGTGCGTGTGTGTGAGTGTGCGTGTGTGTGTGTGTGCGTGTGAGTGTGCGTGTGTGTGAGTGTGCGTGTGTGCGTGTGTGTGTGAGTGTGCGTGTGTGTGTGAGTGTGCGTGTGTGTGTGAGTGTGCGTGTGTGTGTGAGTGTGCGTGTGTGTGTGTGTGAGTGTGCGTGTGTGTGTGTGCATGTTTTAGGACTTTGTTGCTCTCATGTTGCATACGAATGTGAGTAGGTATGTGTCAAGTGTATGTATGTGCATGTGCTTTCTTCAATTATATCACTTGGCTCGTGGCCCTTTCCTATTGCAGCGTGTCTTCATTTACCTGTGGTTTAGATAATGCTTGCTTTACTCTATGTTGCGACAAGTTTTGTGACTATAGTGTATGTGTGTGCGTGCGTGTGTGCGTGCGTGTCCTTATTTTATATTTCACTTTTTGCTTTAACACATTATATAGATAGACTGAAGGTAGGAATCTCCAGTGCGAATCTTATGGTTTAAAAGTGCGTATGTAGAATGAACTCAAATGTTATTTATAGAATTGTGGTCATGCTGCTGCTGTAATCATTTTCGTTTTGGGACGTATTAGTCCTAATGACAAAATTTTATGATATATATAAATGTACTTTTTGGAGTATCTTCTGCGCCATTTTTTAAATCAGCATATCAGAATCTCTCAGGCACACATAAAATCTGGCAAATACGCAAATTAAAAATTTTTTAAAATTTTGCGGAAATATATAATATTCTTTGAAAGAAAGAAGCTATAAAAGTAAAGGGTTAAAAAACTGATATTCGGACACCTTTTTGTGAAAAAATGATGAGATGAGAATGCAGCAGCTTCATTGAAAAAACATGTTTGAAAATGGCATCTTCTTTACCAAAAATGCACCACATGTTACACTGTCGCATTATGATCACTTTTTGTTGCGAGACACTATGGTGAAACATGCCACAAAGCTCACCATTCCACTTTAACTGCAGCCTTTAAGGAGTGTGTTTTGTTTGACCGGATGAATTTTCCATGCGTGCATGAGCTACAGCTTTACTCCTTAGCTGCGCCTTTGATTGACTGCGTACTTATGCTTTCAATTCTCTTAGGTTTGAAAATTTAGTGTTTCTGACTGAAATCCACTCAGCATTTTTAATCTATAATAAGCAATCTTAATAAGCAATGAATTATTTACTCGCGGTTTATCTTTGCGGGCATGAATGTATGATTGTCCTAGCAGTGAAAATATGTACATGCTTTTGTTCTTACATATAAGCTTGAATTTATATGTATTTGTTTTTATGTCTTAAGTGTACATCTGCATATCGACTGCTTCGTGTATGACACCGCCGTACGTCATTTTGAAAAGTCGTGTAAGGCGGAGTCTTACACTGAGCTGTCGATATGTGAAAGTGAGAGGGGAAAACTTTTTATTTATGATGTCTGCGTACTTTTGTGTTTGTTTGAAAGTCGGTAAACAATCCTTTGAAAGTAACCTCCTTACGTTTAACTTTAAGGTGAACCGTGTTCCTTGATTTAACAAGTTTTTACCATTGTCTAATATTACAAGTTTTTACCAGGTTTTCATACAAAACATTGTAACTATTGCACTGTATGTGTGCATCATGCGTGTTTCTGAATTGTAAATTTTTTGATGTTGTTGAAAATTAACTTTCATTTTAAGTAAGTGAAGAGTGGAATGTGAAGCTGTGATGTGGGAAGGTGGATTTTTGGAAATGTCTGCATGTACTTGTGTGAGATACCTGACAGTTATTGCTCTTTAAAGTTTAAGACCCATCATTTTACATGAAAATTCTAATAATGTGCTTTACTCTTCTTTTTTCTTTTCTTTACTGTGTACCTCTAGCCTGATAATCATTACAAACTCAAGGGCTAGAGGCTCTTTTTGTTGTTTTTGCAAGATTGATTCAAAGATCTGATTGTACATTGAATTTTTACTCTTAATTGAAAGGTCTGGTTAGTGAGGAAGTATGGGATCTCGATGATATTCTGACGAAATGAACCTGGATGTATGTTTACAGGCCAAATCTCCACTTTTTGACAAGTATGATGTTGTTGAAACTTTTCTATTTCTTTCTTATCTTTGTAGCAGTCACAAAGAAATTGTTGTTTTGTTTTGTTTTTGTTATTTTTTACTCATCTGGCATTTGGCCTTTATCCTTTAAGTTTTACCTCATTGGTAATACATATTGTATCTGGGAGTGAAGGTCAGTGATATATTGTCGGCAAGCTGTTAGAATGTACTGCTTCGCTCTGTTAACTCTTAAAGGATGTGGCGGACAAATATGACTGGCAGCAGACCTAAAGGCAGTGTTTTGGTACCTTTTGAACTATACTACACTAATCAGAAACTGAAACTTGTGTATTTCATATATATATATATATATATATTGCCTTTTAAAGTCTTAAAAATGAAATTGAAAAGTCTGCATGAATAATGAAGTTATACTTCTTTTTTTTATAAAGTGCGTCTTTAAGAGTTGCTGAAAGACGAGATTGCACATCCTCAAAGAGTGAACACTTTTATCTAAGTTATGTAATTTTTTTCTTGCTTCCCCCCCAATTTTGACAAAATGTTTCTTGACCACATGCAACCAACATCACTGAAAACAAAAAGTAAAATGTCAAATTTTAGTCTTAATAGATTTTAACAGTTGATCGACGATATATGTGAAACTGAGTGACAATATGAGGAGTCCTGGTTTTTTTTTTCTTCTCAAAGTGTTCTAATATATATTTTTTTTTACATTGCCATGAAAAAATACAACAGCTTATGAACTGTAAGTAGGAAGGGCAAGTGTGAGAATGATTAAGAATATTCGATTGAAGAAGAAAGTTTGGTATATATAAGGAAATGTCTCAAGCTTTGTCTATGAATCAAGTTTTTGTTCCCGATTCCTAAAAATATTGCTTTGAGCATCATTTGAGTAAACAGACACTGAACAGTTTCTGGGGAGCCCGGCAATGGTTAGGTACCAGGATTACGCTGAACCATTTGTGGTCTAGATGATTATTGGGAGTCAGGAGTTGATTGGATGAAAGTATATGAAATAGATGGTGTGATTTTTTTTTTTTAAACCGATTTTTGTCGTGGTTTAAAAATGTTCTCTGCTTTCTGGGGGTGTTGGTTGTTCCATTTTTAGAACTATGATTGGGAGCGCAGGATGTTTACTCTTTTGCTTCTTCTAGCTGAACTAGCGACTGACTCACTGTTCATGATTGTCTCTGAACTAATTTTGTGTATCCATTGCAATGTATAGGAGTTTAATTAAGTATTTATTTATGGTTTTTGACCGTATAATTGTGACATTCTTTTTTTTGGGGTTAAACTGAGCAGATAAATCTGCATACATGTCTTTTTTGTAAGATGTGAGGTCTAGTTTTTTTGAATGATCTGGGCAGAGGCTACACGTGGAGAATACAGATCAATGGAAAGTCATGGCTTGGATGAGGACAAATGAATAATTTTAATCCTTAACCTGGCCCTCGCCTTCTCATGCATAGTCCTGACCATGAAAGGTATCCTTTCAAAGCCCCATTGTTCATATGAACCTCTCTGTCACTGCATGATGCAAGGGTGTCCAAGTGTGCACTAAGCTTTCCAGATTTCCTGATTTTGTGCGTATCTCTTTGGTGATTTGCTAAATCTGTGGAGAAGGGAAAAGGGAGCTCCATGAAATGAACAATGATGGTCAGAGGTTTCTCAAGTCAGAGGTGTAGATTGTACTTAACTTTTCCTAATGATCAAACTAGTTTTCAATAATGACACTGTAAGTATGCATACTCGTTATAACACTTAAAAAAGAATATCGTGAGGTTTTAGATATTTGCATTGAAGTTATTTATCAAAACCTTATGTTATTGAATAACTTGAATCCATGAATAGACGAATGCAGTCGGCATTGTCCAAGACGTTCACTTTTTGTCGAGGAGAAAGAGTTCTCAGACGTGTGGAGATCTTGGACTGTGTCAATATGATATTGGAAAGAAGGCAAGGGGCCTAGTTGGTAGTAGTCGTTTGTACAGGTATTTGTCGTGGACTGGTGGCTGTTAGAGCAGGTTCGACCGTATATTGTTGTCCTCGCCCACCTTTATGGTGATATGAGGTTTTGTTCGTTGGCCCATAGGTCAGTACTTTCATTCACGGCTTTTACAGTGTTTATTATATTAAGGTCCAGTGTTTTTGTGCTTTGCTTTGAGCCCGGTCAGCAACAGTGGATGTGGCCATGAGCTCTCTGTCACGCATCTTCTGTTGGATGGGAAAACATTCAAGGCTAGGAATAAATGTAACATCTGCAGTTGCAGAGGTACACGAGGTCAGTGCTTATTGTCATCATAATCGTTGTCATTCTTTCCCACCCGTGCCAGAGTGTAGGCCACTGACAAGAGCTCTCCCTTTACTTTAGTCTCGGGCTATAGTCTCTACCTTTGTCCAGCTGTATCTCATCTGTTTTTAGGTCAGAATCTCAGTGCCTACTCTATGTCTTGAATAACTTTGAGTAGTAAAGTAGGTGCAGTATGCATTCCAATGGTGTGTGTCCTTTTGACAAGTCTGTTTTTTTTCCTCAGAGCGGTCTTTGATATAATTTCGATACCCAGGTTTGCAAATCTTCTTAGTGTATTAATTGCATAAGTACTTGAACAGTGCAAGTTATTCTCTCTCCTATTTAAAAGATGAACAGAAAAAAGTCCTAAAAAGTGCTGATGATGACATCTGCGTTATTACGGGTTTTCTCCTATTTTTAGGAAGTGGGGTATCTCGTGTACAGAG